TGATCTCTGCTTGTTCCTATTAATGGTTTTTTTTCACTTTCGTCTTATAGCTTTTATTGAATTCCTAATATTTTTCTGTTTTTATATGTATATTCACTGCCTTCATTCGCATCAATATTAGGCAAACTTTAAAAAGCATTTTTCGTTGATGACGTTTTCATAATCATTGCTACATTTTATTTATTTATTTATTTATTTTTTTCTTATTTTTGTGGGACAAGTGAAGTGAATGATGAAAGAAGTTTTTCATTATTTTATCAAGTGTCTTGTACACCCATAAAGATGTGCATTTTGCTGCCGGATACAGAATTTCTTTTTGCATTTTACATTTCCCCATCTGTTAAAAAAGTGGTTCATTTCATTATATCAGTCTGTAATAAGACTGAAAGCGTTTTTTTTTTTTTTCCGTTGAATATAAAATTGCTATTTTATTGTTGATCGCTATAGTACGAAATTCAACCATTGCCATTACGTCATATATATATTCTAAGTTTATCGTTAGAGTACGTTTGTTTTTTATTTTTTTATTTTTTTGACGGTAGCTCAGTTTAGTTCGACAAGTTTGATTGTGGAATCTGTCAGGATCTCTTTGAAACATTTTTAAATTTTATTCTATTTTCTATGAATTCAAATATCAGATATCTAAGTTATTCACAGTACTGCTGGTTCTGTAAGCAGTGGTTGAGGCTTTCGTCAAACTTATGAAGTCAAGTGGTTGAATATTCGACTGAAGTAAAATAATGTTTAATGATAAAACGGATCATGACTTCAGTCATTAAGCTATAGAAATGAAAAATCAATGTCAATGCAGCAAAAGTTACTAGTCTTCAATATATTTATTTTCAATAGAAATTGAGAATTTTAGTTGGTAACTTGAAAGAAAATAGGGTTTTTGGAAAGTTGCTGTAGCCACTTCCAAAAGTAAGGGAGAAGGTTGAAGTTGTTAGTTGAAGTTCTGAATATTTTAGATAGTGCTGAGGTACCTATCATAAGCAGTTTTTTTTATTATTTTTACGTTTAAATAAATATATCTTCTGAGCTGTAAGTGACGTGTAGTATCTTGAAAACACCTGGTGTTTGAGAGCGCACAGTTCTGACAATTTTTTTTAAGGAATATGATTCGTTTTTTTTTGCCGTGTTCTTGAGACTAAAAACTGGAATTCTAAGAATATTATTTTTGCATTTATTCGTTTTTAATTGGTTTTTTGTTGAGTATTTTTGAGGACAAATAAATAGGCACATATCTGATGTCGCTTACTGTCTTCATTTTTTTTTTTTTTTGAAACAGATCAAGCACCCGTTGGGATATTATCCTGCTGGTTTGACAAACGTTCAGAAGTTACTGTTCAGGTTGTCTTACAGGGACATGTCTGACCTTCTTCGGTCAGCTTTTAATTACTTCAGTCAGCCGCCGCAAGGATCTGGAGTATTAATTGGTAAAACAGATCATCCTTTAGTTGGTACCACAGTAGATGTTGGTCCATACCGTGTTAAAATTCGAAGTTTGATTGCCGAAGGTAATGCCAGTTCGTGCACTTTCCTATTTCCTTTTAAATATTTGAAGCAAGTACCTGATGTGGTCACTGCTAGACAACGTCATGACATCTTTTTGTTTCTTGCTAATCAGGAATTTTTTTTTCTTTGCCATAATCTGTAGAAAGCCTTCAAATTTGGTGGAACGTAGGAAAGAACTTAGGCGGCAAAAGTTGTTAATGGAGGGGTATTTAAGCAGAAGGAAAGACTGTCATATGAGTTTATTGCTAGAATTTTGGCTAGAAAATGAGCCAAGTTAAATATGGGTTTTTAAAAAAAAAAAAGAGGGTATTTTTTAGTTTTTCTTGAAGAAATTTTTGAATAACGATGCTGTACATGTGCTGAGTTGTGAAGCCTTAACTGTTTTTTAAAATCTATATTTTCAGGCGGTTATGCATTGGTTTTCTCTGCTCAGGACAGTCAGGGAAACTGGTACGCACTCAAACGCCAGTTAGCAGCAGACCGTGATGCTGCAAATGCGGTCGTTCGGGAAATTGAATTTTTACGATCTGTAAGTTCTACTTGTCGTTGGTGCAGTAACCTTTGACTGTTTATCTTGTTGTTTATCTTGATACGGAGTCATTGGCAAATGTTTTAGCTTTCGGGGCATCCAGCAATTATAAAATTCGTTCAGGCGGCTCAAGTTGCTCCCCGTGATAGTGGAAGAAGCGAATATTATTTACTAACTGAATTATGCTCAGGTTCACGTTAAATCTACTTCATTATTCCTTTTACATTATCATCTTCAAATTTTTATGTAATTCAGTGTAGTTTGTTGGGCAGTTCCTGGCTTTTAAGTAGTGAGCTGTAGATACTCTGTATATTCTGTAGAAATTATTAAAAGAAAGAAGTAGGTACGGCTTTTTATTTAACATTGATTTTTTTGAATATTGTTGTTCAAAAAGTCTTTTGCAACGATTTCCTGGTATGTGTCTCGATCTGTATTATTTCCACTTTTTTTCTGAATTAATTTTTACCTTTTACTTTATAAATCAGGAGGGAATGTTGTCGAATTATTGCAAAGAGGTCCCCTGTCTGTCTCTCAAGTGGCCAAGATCTTCTATGCTGCGTCTCAAGCAGTTTATCATATGCATTCTAAAAACCCTCCAATAACTCATCGTGACATGAAAGTTAGTATGTGGTTGTTACTAATTACAATTTATTGCTAATTTCAACGAGTATTCAATTTTTAACTCGTCAAATATTTTGTGTAAAAAGTCTTTTTCATGAAGAACATTGCTTCAACTTGTCTTTGCTAGGAATATAATATTTTTGTTGTATTTTGCGTTGCACACAGGTCGAAAATCTTCTTTTTGACTGTACGGGTCGGGTCAAACTATGTGATTTTGGAAGCGCCACTACTGAAATTATTAGGCCTGACGAAAGCTGGAGTGTGTCAAGGAGAACTCAGTTAGAGGAAGATGTGAATTCTTCATAGTTACTATTTCAGTAGTCTTGTTTATCGCAGTTATTGTTTTCTTTGTTGCAAAATTTCTTAAAAATGTTATTTACGGCAAGTATTGTAGTTAGCACGGTTTACGACTCCGATGTACAGAGCTCCTGAAGTGTTAGATGTGTACTCGGATTATATTCTTGGACCTCCTCAGGATGTTTGGGTTGGCTTTTGGCTTTTTATTCAAATTCTCTATTGAAATTTTTTCCAAATGATCAATTTTGTAGGCTCTTGGATGCATTCTCTATTACCTTTGCTACAGGAAGCATCCTTTTGAGGATAGCGCTAAATTACGAATAATCAATGCAAAATATACATTGCCAGAAAATGAAACGGGTTATAACATGTTTCATCCTCTAATAAGTGGGTAATTTGGTTTGATTTCGTTTAATCCTAATTTTTCTTTTTTGAACATTACTATTCTTTTCAAGAAGTATTTAAATTTTGTTTATGTTTCATAAGGTAGCTTTGACTGCAGGAAGATGTCTTGAAATTGATCCGAAGAAAAGAGTGCCTGTTAAAGACCTTTGTGAACAAACTAAGGCACTTGCTACTGCCCTAAACATTGATTTAGAGTCACCAGTGGATGGTGTTGAAAAACAGTTATTGTCAAGCTCAACAGTTTTAGATAATTTAGGAGGTAATTGTCACGGTCTTACTTTTCTAAGGTGCTATTTTATTTTCAAAATATTAGTCTAAATGGTCTTTAAGGAGGAGGTGATCGTTTTTCGCAGCAGCGGCAGTTTGCTAATCGGAATTCGCCACCGAGGCCGCCTCCACCAGCAGTGCATAAACCTGGACTGGTGAAAATCTGCTCTGAATTTAGTGTCATGAAAACTACATACCTTTCCGTCAAGATATTCATTAGTACTCACTCACAGCATTAAGGGCCGCCAAGAACCTTCCGCACAGCAACATGCTTCTGCAGTATTTGGAGCTCTGAAGGGTCAAGGCATGTCATGGTTCAAAAACATCAAAGATAAAACTGCTGCAGTTGCTCAAACCGTTCAGGTTAAACTTCTCTTTAGCTCTTCACGATCACGTTTCTATCAGCGACGTTAATGCAGTAAACAGCTTACTGGTGAATTGTGTGACTGTGAAACTTATATTCTTCAATTTTTTTAAAAACTGCGGGGTAATCATCACCGACCTTCAGTGGTTGTCAGGAAATTTGCTTGTGATGTCGCTCTTTTTTTTCACACTACCTCTTTAAGGATTAACAACTTCCAGTCTTATTTTTCTTGGGATGGTTTTCCAGTATTAATTCTTGAGGCAAGATATTGCAAGTATTTGTAGATAGGAGAAGTTTTAACACAGGTTTCAAATATTAGATTCAAGTTTACTTTAGTCTACTTATGGAGGTCGTGGTCCTGATGTAGTATTTGTGACCACTAAACTCGTACTTGCCCCCCTTTCCGAAGCGGTCCCAGAAGCTCTGGCCGCTCAAGCTGAAGAAGCCATGCGTTCCTACATTTTAGACCATGGTAAAGGTCGTTTTGCCATATACAATTTATCACCAAGGTAGGAATGACTTGAATTTTTTTTTT